TTAAACTTGGGCAATTGAATGGTAGGTAGTTTAACCGATTCGTTATCATGAACGCTTGTTTCTAGTTTCCGTGATCTGTTAGATCGGCTTGATTTAACTGATTCATCTCTCGTGGATTCAGCCGTGTCTGCACTCATCTGATGCAGATAGAATTTCGCATCCGCGACCAACGATTCAAGTGGATTTTCAAATTCTTAGCGATATTCGAACTGAGTTTCTAAGTCCGCATCCTCTACTAGGCACTCGATGTCAGTCTGAATCGATTTCAATTCTGCTTCGAGATCCGCTAATTTACTTGTTTTGTTCGAAAGCAGAATAATTTGCCTGTCGTTTAAGTTTTCTATACCCTCCGCTGTTATTTCTTGTAGGAATCTTTCAAATGCCGTGAGTCGTGCTTCCCCGGATCCTCTTTTTCGATTGAGAGTTTGAAGTTCCGACAGTTGAGCCATGTTTTGAAACCCTAATTATTCACCGTGGAAACCGTTTGATTACTTTAATGTAAGAACTGTGAGCTTACTACACCGAGTGTGAATGAGCCTAATTTAACGCCGTGTATTTTCTATTGTTTGCAACTGAACCGAGTCTGACCGCGAACTTGTCTCCGAGTACAAGTTCAAGTTAAATCTACCGTGTATGACTTTTAATATCACCGAAAGTACCGATAATAACCCTAGATTTATTGTGCGCACCCTGTAACGCGTATATCTGAATGTGTACGACAGACAGACCCCGCTCTGCCTGCTGAGACCTGAACGCGTAAATAAACCGCCGAAAATCACTGCGAAAATAAATTCCCGATATTCCACAGTGGCCTGTAAGTGGGAAAGAGATAAATGGATGGGTCTGACCTGCACTTTCTCGCTCTGTCCTTGTCTTGCCTGTGTCCTGTGTGTCGTCTGCCGGCCGTCTGTTGCTGGGAATATGACTGCTGCACTTTCTTCACTTTATTTTGGCAATGTGGCTCGATGGACCAGACAATGTCGGGGTATTTTCCAACTAGTCTTCTAAGAAGACCCTTTTTTTGTTTGGTACTGTTTATTTTTTCGTAAGTGGACTGTATCTACATTGTAATGATATGGTTACAAATATATGTGTCTTGCTTGACAGTCCGCGAAGAAGTATTTTGCGACGGCGTTGCTTCTCGGCAGTAGTGACGTCAGCGTGGCGGAGGCGATGGTTTCAAAAATGCTTGTACAGGCTCTTTTTCTCTAAATATTGCTTCATATGAAATATGGCATAATAGCCTTTATTTAAATTCAGGCACACATCCTCAGTTTTGGATGCTGGAGGAGAGATCTGCATCGAACCAGCTACCAAGGAGTTTCATGCTATCCACTGACTGTAAACCAAGCTCTACATTTAATATGTTGTCTTAGTAGTTGGGTATATGGCTTTTCCAATACGAAAGTTGATTGCGGTAGTTTTATTTTTATTTAGGATCAACTTGTTTCTTTGGCACCAAACTTCCATTTCTTCAAATACAACTAGGAAGTTTTTATGTAGTTCATCCACAGAACTTCCAGATACAGTGATCGTGGCATCATCAGCAAACATTGTAACTTCTCCCCTTGAAATGAAGTCTGGCAAGTCATTTACAAAAAGTAGAATTATTAGAGGACCTAATACGGACCCCTGGGGACTCCCAGATTTACAGGGAAATTATCTGATAAGACATTATCAATCTTCACAATTATATTTCTATTAGACAAGCAAGACTCAAACCATTTCAATATATGACCTCTCAAACCTAGTGATACTAGTTTTTCTAGAATGATATTTTTGTCCAGCATATCAAATGCCTTAGATAGATCGAATATCATGCTTACTACTTAGTTGCCTTGATCTAATTGCGAATAAACATAATTCAAAAAGTCAGTTACCTTTGAGAATTCTGACAGAAGTGATATTTGTCTATAATTCTCAATATTTTCCATATCACATATTTTATGCAGAGGCAAAACAAGAGCTGTTTTTAGTAGATTAGGGAATATTCCGCTGTCAAGGGAGATTTTATGATGCAAGTCATTTTCCGTGATATATGGAACGAAAATACAATTTGATGGATTTTATACTGGATGAGTACAAGGTAGCACCATCTGACCAAAAGTGTCAGCAAGTTTTTTATTGCAAATATTAGAAAAGTAATATGTAAAAGTGTTACCTATTTCGCTTTTGTTTGATATTATCATCGACTACAATCTGTTCAATTTCAGTTTTTTTTTGTTAAGTTTTCCTAAACGTTCATTAAGAAGTTGCCATGTTTCCTTAGTTTTATTTGAAGCCGACTGTATTAGGTGAGAAGTGTATTTCCGTTTTGACTCTCTAATTTTCGCTTTGTACTGCCAGTTTTTTTTTTCATTGTACATGTTGTTCAGATTGACATTTTGATGGGGACATGTTAAGTCTAAACACCTTTTAACGATTTTTGCAAATTCTTCATACATCATATATGCATATTTGACTCACAATATAAGTTAGACCAATCAGTATTATCCAGATAATATGAAAGATCCTCTATATGTCCCTGGAAAAATTTACGCGGAGTTATGGCATTGATTTTCGGACTTTTTACTGCAGAAAAGTTTTCTAGTGTAAGAAGATATGCCAGATGATCCCCAAGATTACAATCTAGCACTGAGGCTTCATAGCAATCTGAAGGAATATTCATAGTCAGTCTATTGATGAGATAGAAGTTTGGCCATTAATGTTTGTGAAAATACGAGTTGGTTGGTTGATTGCTAATTGAATGTTAAAACAATCTAAAATGTCTTTAAAAATTTTAATCTCAAGCGATGCTGCTAATTTATATCTGATATTAAAGTCGCCTAAAGTATTACTTAGAGCAAGAGTTAAATTTTTCAAAAGTTTGTAAATCTCCTGTAGCTGGTCTGTATACAGCTATTATCGCTACATGTGATTTACCTGTTTTGTACACAGCAGCACATATTTCCAGGTGGCATTCAACAGAGTATGATTATATAGATGACATTTCTACCGCAGTTGCACTATTTTTTGCATATATCAACACATCACCATGTATATGTCTCGACCTAGAGAAATGCGAGATTAAAGTGTAATTAGGAAGAATTACATTTGGTAGCTCCGAATTTACAAACCAATGTGAATCACGAGTGAATCAGTTTGTTTTGTTGGACAAACATTGAATATTTGAGTGAAAGATCCTCACTCAAGGGCTGTCTCCTCCATATGAGGTGTCATTCATACAAAAAAGGTTGTTGCACCCTAGGTATTTCAGAATTTGCACTAGAGTTATTTCCATTAGAATTATCACCGTTAATAACGTCTCGAATATCATACCTATCATAGTGAATTAAAATCAAACCTCCTATAACCTACGCCTACTGGCCAAAAAAATGGGTCATAAAACAGATCCTTATACTTGAAGTCTGCTGCCACAAAGAAACTATTGAACTTTTTGTTATTTGAGAGAACATTTTTCACAATGAACACTTCTTCTTTTTTTCCTGACTTCATAGTGATGTGAGATAACACATCTGCTTCTTTTGTATCCAAGGCTACTTTATGCAGATAGAGGTAAACTTTGGGTGCAACACCATGGAAGTTTCTATTCGATTCTGACTGGCCGATATTTTTCCGACTCTTTCCTTTTTAATTACGCCGTTTTTCTGCACTATCTCCCATTTCGAGTCTGAATTTTTTGGCGGTTGACGATTGGTTTGAACTTCATCAGGCTGCTTTTGCATCAGTGTGTTGTGTTGGTGTCGTATTACGTCTGTATTTTCGACTGTGGTTCTAGTTTTGTTGGATGTTACACTCGTTCTGTAGTTTGCGTTGGATGTAGATGGAGCTGTTTACACATTCGACATTTTGCTTTCAAAATTTGAAAACATATCAATAATATCTTTCTTTAGTTTCGCATATAAGATGTTATAAAGTTATTAGTAGTTATAGCCCAGGGAATCAGAACAGCCCATTCACATCATTGGACTCTTCATTGGTTCTTAGAGAAACAGCAGTTTCTTTCCTAGATGATAATTCTTTCCTCAAGTTTCTTAGATATACTTAGTAGGTGGTTTTCTTCAGTGAAGAACTCAATACTAACTAGCATTACTTTTTTTATCAATTCTTGATTAGCAAATTGTTTTTTTAGAGCAACCATATCATATTCTTTCGATTTTAATTTTGATTGCAAGTCGGAATTAATTCGTAGTAATTCCATATTTTCTTCGCTCAGTTTTTAAAAATAACATCACTTTAGTCAATAATAGTACTATTGAGGCTTCTCTTGGTATCAAAAACTTCGTCCTCAAAATCGGTTGTTTTTCTTCTCAATCTAGTGATGTATTCATCTTTTTATTTTGATTGCTGTATTAGTGTCTTAATTTCAGCTCATACTTTAAGAGTTTTTCTTCAGCTTCGGCTTTAAGATTATCTAGCTGAGAGCGATAAATCCTATTTTCATTGAAAATATAATTCATCTTATCCCCCTCAGCTTTTTTTGCTGTTTCGCATGTTTTGGAGCAATAGATGGTGTTCTTACTCCCTTCAATAACATTTTTCTTCCTGTACCAGACAGCTTCTATTAAACAATGAAAAACACTCCACACATACAATGCAAGAGAGTTCCTTCTTACAGCAACGAAATTGGTTATCCATGTACAGTTTGCAGATTATGAATTTGAATTCATTATCTTGATTTTAGCCTGTTATGCCACTGGAATGTTTGTGTACACTTTCTTTTACCAGACTGTGGTTGGCGTTTTTTCGATACTCGAGCACACACTCAGTTATTAATGAATTAAATGCTTTTTTTATGGCACTGGAAAATGTCTTTAGTGATATCCCACAAAACACATGAAATGCAGCATTTTATGGTCTACTCAGTTCCATTATTCCACTCAAATTAACACTATTTTACTCAAGATATTATTCCAAATATTGGGAGCTGATATAAATGTTCAGCAGTTTAATCCTGGGACTGATATTTTAAGAAGTACTGAATATTTTATGCCATTCACCTGTGAATGTATGTAGCAGGATCTTCAGGACAATCAACTTGCAATACCCAATGCACTGCTGGAAAATCCAGTCCTCTGGCTGCAAGATCCGTAGAAAATAATATAGCTGATTGCTTGTGACAGAAGTTCTCATAAATATCCATTCGCCGTAACTGATGAAGGGTACCATAGAGGGCGAGAAGGGGAGTACCAGGCCTTAATCTGAAACAGATTTTGTAATTTATAGTATATATAATATGGCAGTGTGACTGTGATGTCATCTACACATTTACAAGATATCGTGTGATACTCACTTGCAAAATATTTCATATACATATTTCACTTGCTTACAACTGGCGAAGAACACCATGATTTTTTTGTTAGGGTGATTTTTCAGAAAGCTCCACAGCACTGAGACCTTATCCTTTAGTTCACATACCACATAACTCTGAGACAATCCTTTAGGAGTACTATGCTCCAAATTCTCGTGGACGCTTATGTAAGAGGGATCTTTAAGGCTCAATCTAGCAAGGTCTCTTACAGATCTTGTTTGGGTGGCTGAGAACAGCAATGTTTGTCTTTTGGGTGGCAGGTTTTCTATTATAGCATTCATGGTTTGTTCAAAGCCCATGTCTAAGCACCTATCTGCTTCATCCAAAACCTGAGATACAAAAAAGAATTCAAAATAAACTATGTCTCCTCTTATGTTATTTATAATTTTTTGTATATGGTCTTTGTTGGATATTATTGTTATTAAATAAATAAATAAAAAAATAAATAAATAAATGTTCCAATCTGTGTGAAGTTAATATAAGATACACCAATAGGCTTGTGTGTGTGTGTGTATCCACTAAAAACTTACAAGCCTCAAGAAAATGGTTTTCCTAGATAACTTTTAAAGAATTGAACAACACAATGCTTGTAGGCCAAATGACACATTGAAGAGATATCTAGCTTATTTGGTTCAACATAGAAGGGCCAGCTTTATCTTCAGTAAAGCTAAAGGTTTATAAAAACCAGATTGTTATTTATCTTCTTACCAAAATTTGCATGTTAACACAGTCAAACAGTGGATTTTCATCCATGTGTTGCAATAATCTTCCTGGAGTACAAATTATAATATTGCATTGATCCATTCTATTCCTTTCAAACTTCAAATCCTTTCCACCAATGATGAGACCTGCTGAGAAGTCATGGTGTTGCCCAATTTTTCTCAATGTCTCGAAAATCTGGTAAGCTAACTCTCTTGTTGGAGTTATAACTAAAAAAAGTAAGCACATAGTATGAATTTCATATGAATCTCAATAATTAGTATCAATTTGTGATAGAGAGTTCATTACCTTCAAAAGTCTGATAAAAATATAAAGCCATGTACAGATATGTAACAACACCGCGAACTGAACCACGCGACGAACCGCGCCGAGCTAGTGTAGACGGTGAAAAGAACGCCGTCGCGTTACAGCTAGCTGTTCGGTCCGATTCCGACTCTGTCGGTTATTCAGCGCAACATCAAACGAATGGCTCACGACCAACTTGCACATGTTTGGACAGGCATACCAGTGCGGGGAGCACGCGCTCATCTCTGTAAATGGATAGACCCCGTGAAGAGGTCGGAGGAGAAAACTCTTTTGGTTATAGAGCATTATAGAGCAGCGGAATTGTTGTAGGATGCAAAACATACCCTGCATAACAATAAATTAAAAAAAATGATGTTTAGGAGCAGATAGCATCCACAATGGGAACAACAGCTGGCTTATGTAAACGGAAAATGGCAATTCCCTTATCAAATTGTTGTAACCATGGGCTGATCTATTGGTATATAACTGTGTTTGCCACCATCATCTTGGACGTCGACATCACTTGTTTTTGCATAATTCGTAGTGAATAAAAATATAGGCAGCTGCTGCTACTGCTATATCCATTTCAGTTAGTATTCGTCTTTCACTGAATAACAAACATCAAAGTTGGATCGTCATTTTGTTGCGCGATTTGGTTGCACGACGTCGTTCGGTTTGTGGTGATGCTCATTGCAATGTTGTTCGTCAAAATGCGCGCGCTGCGAATCGTCGCGAGGTTCAGTTCGCGGTGTTGTACATGGCTTAAGGAACCCAAAAACTGAACTGTGCAGAATAACTGTAAAACATTAAAATTACTGAGCTATATGATGAAAGCAGACAACCACACACCACAATGATGTAATACTAGTTGCCTACAAACTAAAATCATATTTCTGAATATTGAATATTTTTTTGCAAAAAATACTTTATATTGGGCACATTCTCTTCGAACAAGCTGAATAAACTTAATGTCTCTAATAGAGGAATTATTGAAAGAAGGATAATGTACAAATGTGCATTATTTACCTATTGAGCCAACACCATCCATTTTTGTCCATTTCAAAGTATAGAGCTTTTCTAAAAGAGGTATCAGAAATGCTAGTGTTTTTCCTGAGCCTGTCTGAGCTGCTCCTAAAATGTCTTTGCCTTGTAGTGCCAAACCAATTGTTTCTCGTTGAATCTCTGTTGGTTTGTGGTACCCACATTCTCTCAATGCCTTGAGAGTATTTGAGGATAGTGGAAAATCACAAAATTTGGTTATTTCTTCAGCATTAATCTAGAAAAATGGTCTTAGAAGGGAAATAAAGAACATTGCGAACTGCACACTTACAGACTCATATTTCGATTTCAAGTTATCTATGACAGACTCAACATCTCTTTTGTTCTTGGACTTATTTGTGTACACTTTAATCTTCTTTTTGTCCTTCTTAGGCTTCTCTTCCTTTATTTCTGGCATTTCTAAGAGAGTAAAATAAAAATATCACATGTACAAAAGTCAGGTTATGTTTATATTAATATCAATGTTACCAGGTTCAAGAAATAAAAATCACTAGAAATTTTGCTAAAAAATCACTAGATTTTTTATTTATATATTTTCTTATATAGAGGTAAATAATAAAATAAAATACATATTTTATTTATTTTAAAAACAAACAACAAAAACGTACATTGGAACAGACTCTTAAAAGAAGCCACAAATACAAAACCATCAGACAAAATTAACAAAACACCAAATATATTCCAAAGCTTAAAAACGTAACAATAAAAACGAAATTAAATATAACTTATACTACATTAAAAAGAATAACATTTCTTACGAGTACATATGTCTTTTTATAATGTCCCTTGAAATTGGAAAATTAAAGCAACTTTTATCTTCGGCATTAATTAGTCTTTTGCTGTACCAAATGCCACTTATTGTCGTAGCACCCAGTCGATTACGCATTTTTTTTAAATTAATGTAAAAAAAATCTTTCCACACTTGCGCTACTGTGTGGCAATGTAAATAAAATTTTAACAAAATTGGCAAGCTCTAAGTATGCGAGACTATCCATCCACTTTTTTGATATTGCTTATGTTTTCCAGAATTGAATTTCACCGAGCAAAAAATCACATTCAGAAAATTTCAACTGTTCAATTGTTGATGTCTTTAACTATATTTGGAAACCTACTAGCCAGAGGACCTACGCTTTCAGTTGATGATATATTTGATGGGTGCAGAAAAGTTATTAGTTTGAGAATCTGTACTTCTCGGGAATTTAAGGGGAATCGCTTCCATATTTGGCTTACCGCTTCAATATAAAAATCCAGACATTTCAATCTGAAATTATATTTTATATTTTAGGTAAAAAAAAGGATTATCATCGTCCGGTAATTTTTCGCAAGCAGAAGAGCTAAAGAGCTAAAGAGTGGCATATACACTTCATGACATATAAATCTGATATATCGTTAGTTAAAAGAGGTTTTAAGCGAATGATGTGCTCCCATCATAGCATTTGTCCCATCTGCTGCAAATCCTACTAAATTACCTTTTTATGGTATTTTATTTTCGAAAAGAAACTTATAATGACATTGTATACATTTTGAGCTGAAGCGACTTTAACTAAAATAAGGTTGAGAAAATGATCCTTTGTAGTTAAAATTTTTATTGTACCAGACAACAATTGCTAAATGTTTTTCGGATGACAAATCTGTCGATTCGTCAACTAATAATGAAAATGTATGACAATTTAAGTCACTAATAAGATTTTAACTTATTTTCCCTAATACATTGTTTATGATTGCCAGACATTTTTTTCACTTGGCTACTCTCCATTCCAGACAAACAAATAAATTTTATAAGATAATCTGACACATTTATTGTGATATTACGCTCTGCAATAAAAGCTGCAATTTTAATTTGTATTTTGTTTTACTATATTATCAGAAGAAATTTGAAATACTTTTTTTGGCAATGTTGGCTGCTTAACCATATTTAAATTTTTTATATGCTTTTTTGAATAACCATGTTTTTCTTAAAGCTCCTATGCCTCCTAAATAATCATAATTGCAAACCTTGCAGTGGAAAATATAGCTTCCACAGTAACTTGGCTGCACCCAGTTCTTAAAATGTTCATGCTGCTCCCACTCAGCCTTGTATTTTTGGGAATATATTTTTTTCTTTTGAGGTTGGTTGATCTTCTGGATCTTACTGGATACTGAATTATCAGAATCAGAAGTGGAGTCTAATTCATTTGTTGTACTCGGTCTCGTTTCCTCTGATTCTTCTTGAACTGAAGTCGACACTTTGCTTGGACCTGGTTGTGGAGATAATGGCCGAAATGCGTCATCTTTCTTCTTAGTTACCAATTTTTTTTTTTCATATTTTTGGTATCTGAAGGCCTGAAAAACAAAAAAAGAGATTTTAGCCTTTATTACAAACTAATTTTTGCCTCAATTAGGTATAGATTAGTATTTTTTTATTGTTAACGTTATGTCATAAAATATTTTGTAAAATAAATTGTTTTAAAGAAAAAAATCAAATATGTATGTACACTGTGCTTGTAATTCCAGGGCATCTTGGATATTCTTAAAGATAGAACTTTACTGTTTTCGGGAACCCGTGCCACTTTTTGTTCAACATAATAATTAATGGGGGGCATAAATATAAGATGCTCACATTTTTCCAGCACGCCACTGAATACGCAGAAGTATCTATCTATGGTTTGTTCGTACAGTAGTCGGTAACTTGTCGGTGACTGTCAAAATCAGAGAGATGTTACCTGTTCGTACAGAACCTTCCGAGGGGTCAGAGGACACCAGTCAACCAGTGACCAGTGACAGGTATCAGAGTGTGTCGGTACTATCTTGAGGGCTAAAATTGCTTCGCAAGAGGCATTTAATGAACTTTTCTCTAATGGACGGTCTGAGGACACCTTCGTACCGTCGGGCCGTTGGCGAGCTAGCTACGCCAACAGGTATTGCTCCTCAGAGCTCTCAGTTCTACTAACTTTAGGGAGTTCAAAAATGGGAATAACAAAGTTTCTTCAAGCTCCTCAAAGCAGCAGCCGTGCCTTGACATGTAGGGTTCACCTGCACGGCTGCTTCGGTGTAAAAAAAATGAACCCCAAAAACCTTAATTTTGTAGAGAAAACAGTGCCACAATTCAACATAAACAGGTTTTTGTAACATTTTCATGTAAGCAAGTGGCAGAGAAATGTTAATGAAATTCCATTTTAAATATAAGCCTGCGCCAAAGTGCTTTGTGCTCAATATTTTGTTTATTGACCCGGTAATGGCAAAATGAAGATTATGAATACAGTATGAAAAATCCGAACAATAGAGGACATAACTTTCAAGAACCATAATTAGTACGATTTTTGTGGTCACTAATCTTTTGAAAATTTTTGTTACAGTTGCAAAATGCGTAATTCCTCGATTTAAGTCTTACTTCTATGTATTTTCGTAATCTCAGTTCTTTTTGTCCATGTTGAGAACTCTGTGAAACTTATAGCTATGTCAGCAGATCTTGATAATTGTAATTATGTTCAGCCGTTTCAGCTTTTTAGTGTATAACAAACACCCTTTATTATTAAATCCTTGTAGTATTTTCACTTCTTTCTTCTAGTAAGAGTCTGCATATACAGGGTGTGTTTCTAATTTGGCCCTCACCATTGGAATCTTGGAAACTGTAAGGGATACGAAGTCGCTTAAATGGGGTAGTCAACAAAGTCACACTTAGAAGGTTTCGAAATTCATAATACTTCCGTAGAGTAACGGAAAAACTGAATTCTCCCAAAATTGTTCTGATTTTTTCCTGACTTTATTTATATTGGGATTTTAAAATAAATTGCACAACATTGGAGAAGACTCTAGATTAGCGAGAAGTGGCACTCGTAGCCTTTTTGGACATTGAAGGTACATTTAATTGCACCACAACCGACTCTATCAGACATGCCTTAGTTAGACACGGGGTTGGATCAGTCCTAATAGATTGGGTCCTATCTACTCTGGAGGGTCGGGTAACAGCTATACTGAATGGGTATGGGTGTCTACGTGCAAGCCTATGCTGATAACGTAAGCGTAGTAGTTAGGGGGCGTTTTTGTAGAACAGTCTCGGAAATTATGCAGGGCGCTTTGCGCTCCGTGGAATCGTGGTATAGGGAAGTCGATCTTTCTGTTTATGCTGAAAAGACCGAGCTGATCCTATTCACTAGGAGAAGAAGGCTTGACGGGCTGGTCATGCCGAACTTCTTTGGGACTAGATTAGTTTTGTCACAGTCAGTGAAATATCTGGGAATTATCCTGGATTGCAAACTGAACTGGAGACAGCATGTTGAATACAAGGTTAGCAAGGCTCGCAATTCGATGTGGGCTTCTAGACGTGTTGTTGGTGTAAGGTGGGGGCTTAAACCTAAAGTGGTATACTGACTCTACACGACGATAGTACGTCCATCTCTCTTGTACGGCTCCCTGGTCTGGTGGCCTTGCATTAGAACTGAAACAACTAAGGCCAAACTTAATAAAATTCAGCGTTTGGCCTATTACAAGCGCAGTGCGAACAACGCCATTGAGTGCAATGGAAGCTCTGTTGGATGTCCCACCGTTGGATCTGGTGATCCGCGGTGAAGCGAGAGTAGTCGCTCATCGACTGTGGAGTCAGGGCAGCTGGGCTTTTTTGAATCCTGTCAAGGGGTATACTGGCATCTTAGTCGAATTACAAAGGGAGCACCCAGTCCTTCTAAGCAGGGGTGATCGTATTACCCCTAAATATCGCTTCAACCGCAAGTTTATTGTGGAGTATCCAACGAGGGAGGAGTGGGACGCCGGTAGCCGGGGACTCTCCGGAGTGAGCGGGCAGTTCTGGTACACGACGGCTCGGTCACCGAAGAGGGCTCAGGTGCTGGGGTCTCTGGGCCTAGAACTAGGCTATCTCTGCCTCTCGGTGGATGCACCACTATTTTCCAGGCGGAAATCTTTGCGATTCTGGCTTGTGTATCTCACATTCTGGAGGAGGGTGGGCCTAGGAGAAGAATAACAATCTTATCCGACAGCTAGGCTGCAATGAAAGCACTAAGTGGCTGTAAGATTACTTCGAGTCTTATATCGCAGCGAGGCATCCGGTATCGTTAATATGGGTACCGGGGCACGCTGGGACAAGGGGCAATGAGACGGCGGACACTTTGGCGAAGACAGGAGCAGCCAGCAAGCTCGTTGGTCCTGAGCCAGCTCTAGGAGTGACCGCGCATAAAGCTAGGAGGAAAATGGAGACGTGGGTTGCAGGACAACACTCTCAGAAATGGAGAAGTATCTCCAGACTTCTCCGCCAGGCACGGGAACTCATTGAAGGACCCAGTGTTAAGGATGGACGCTTCTGCCTATCTCTGGATAGAGCCAACCTAAGGTTGCTGGTGGGACTGTTGTCTGGCCATAACACGATAAGGCGTCACCTGCACGTGATGGGGGTGGCTGAGGATCCCTTGTGTGAACGCTGCGGGGTAGAGGAAGATACCTCGGCGCACGTTTTGTGTCGCTGTGAAGCTCTGAGCTACCATAGGCAGACTATACTGGGGTCCATTACTTTGGACCCTCAGGACGTCAAGGAGCTTGGACTCCAGGCGATTCTCAACTTCGCTAAAAGGGCGAAGCTTGTGATCTAAGGATTGTTGAGGTGCATAAGGGCCCGCTTAAGCGGCCTATGCACTAGCTCCTTATGGTGGCCGGAATGCCTCTAATTTCAAAATTCATTCATTCATTCAACAGTGCCACGTTTTCTCCTCTACAAGAAGGCATAATCAGAATTTCTATATGACGGTTCGTCTCTTAAGGATGCTATACTGCATTTTTGAACAGATGAATAGAGTTTTTAATTTTGATTCAAAATGCTTAATACGTCATACATTGACGTTGTCAAACCTTGATTACAACAGATTTTTTTAGGTAGGCCTTGAAATTATCAGATGTTTGCTTCGCTCACCAGATTTATCCCAAAACCGCTCTATTTTTTTCCCGACTCTATTCGAGATGGGATTTCAAAATAAATTGCATATTGTCATTGTTACTTATGCTCGTCTGCAAGACGGCGTAGTCAAATTTTCAATTCGACATTTCTTCTTTCGACTTAAATCATCAAATTTGTTTTTTCATACGGACACTATATTGGAATTTTGTACATTTAAATGGACTTTTTAAGCCCTAAATTCAGTCATTGTTAGTTGACCATAAATTTGTTGTTGGATGTAAATTAAAGGAAATAAAAAGATTTGGTGAAACCTGAATACAAAATGAAAATTTTATTGATGGTAATAACAATAATAACCATAAATAAGCAGAGATATTCACAGTCTTCCAAACTCTGTTGCTATGCAAACAAATGGAATCTAATAATTTCAAGGCCTACCTAGGAACTTCTGGAATAACTAAGGTTTTGCAATGTCAATGTATGACATACATTTTTTAAATCAGAATAAAAATTCTATTCATGTGTGTAAGAATCCAATATGGCGACTATAAGAAAAAAATAAGTTGATGCTGGAGGACAAGAGGAAATTTAGTTTTTTACGTCTCTTTCCGGAAGTACTTTTAATTTCAAAACTTTCTGAGCGACACTTTGCTGATTATCTGAAGACACAGCTATTTAACTGACTTCATATCCCTTAAAGTTTCCGAGATCCCAATGGTGAGGGTCGAATTTAAAATACCCTGTATAGGGAAAATATTCGGTGGGCACCCTTGAGAAAAAGCTGTACCACAAAATCTCCAGAATTCGTTTTTTTTTTGAACAGCCGTTGTCAAGTGGACCTGATTGACATGCAGTCACATCCAGATGGAGAATATAAATTTATCATGGTGTATCAGGACCATTTAACTAAGTTTGTTCAAATACGTGCATTAACATCGAAAAGGGCTGAGGAAATAGCTAAGAACCTGATAGACATATTTTGTATTTTTGGCGCCCCATCTATACTACAATCAGACAACGGCCATGAGTTCGCCAACCGTGTCATTGAAGAGTTATGTACAATGTGGAGTGGCCTTCAAATAGTCCATGGCAAACCACGTCATAGTCAGCCACAAGGCAGCGTGGAAAGACCAAATCAAGATATACAAAATATGCTTAAGACGTGGATGGAGGATGAAAACTGCAGGCGATGGTCAGAAGGTATAAGATTTGTCCAGTTCATGAAAAATAGGGCATACCATGACGGGATAAAACAAGCTCCTTATGCTGCCATGTTTGGGCATGATATTGAAGTCGGCCTATCCACATCAGCGTTTGCAAAAGAAGCTATTGAAAATCTACGAACCGAAGAAGAGCTCGAGAAAGTTGTGGATGAATTTAGTGTAGGTGAAGAGCTTCAAGAAGAACAAAATGAAGAC